GTAATATTATTGTAGCTTTAGGTAAGGGGCTTAGGTAATTGCACATGATTGATGTTTTCACAAACAACATTAATGATAACATGTGCCCACACCCGCACATGTAGATAGATTCCTGGTGAGGTATTGTCTTTTAATTAGCCAAAACGACCGAGTAATATAAAATTAATTTTCACATGATTTAATTCATTTTTTATTAGAAAAAAATTAATAGTCTTTTAATTAGCCAAAACGACCGAGTAGTATATTTTCACATGATTTAATTTATTTTTTACTAGAAAAAAAATTAACAATTTTAAAATACTTTTTATATGTTAAAAAGATGATCTGATCCAATTATCTAATTATCTAGTGTATTCTCAACTTTCGCCGGTCATACCAAGTTTTTTATAATTTTCCTCATGTTCCTGGAACCTTTTGTTCTGCCACTATTTTCTGTTTATATATATATATATATAAAGCCGTTTTCGAAATTGTATAGAAAAGATGAAGTTGGGCCCATGAGCATATGTGATGTAGGATTGTAGGTCTACTCCTCAGGATGCAGCCGGTCCATGACAATCTCGATAACTCCCAGCCCATCAACTATTCTAAGCTAGTTAGCCTATTCCTTTAAGGACCGGCCCATTTAAAAAGAAAAAGAAAAACACTATCCTCTTCCCTTCCAGGCTCCAGCAAAGTAAAACAAGCAGAGCAGACTGGCCAAGCAAAGTGTTCCCTTCCCTTGTTTTCGCTATGCCTCCATTTCCATCTTCTCTTCATATGTTCCACCCCAGCCTGAATCATTACTTAAAACCTAACTTCTTTTCTCTCATTTACTTCTCGATTTCAGCCCCTAAATTTCCTCTCTCCAGCCAATTGATTGCGTTTAATCCTAGAACTCTCTCTTCTGTAGCAACTGCACTTTCCCCATCGGAAAATGGCAGTGGCGGCGGAGGAGAAAGGTCGGCCGCGCTGGCTGGTCCGCCGGTACTCGAAAATTCAGTGCAGAAAATTGATGTCAATCCTCCTAAAGGTACCAGAGATTTCCCTCCAGAAGAAATGCGCCTCCGCAGCTGGCTCTTTCACAATTTCAGAGAGGTCAGACCTCTGTCCATGTTATAAATAAAACATATCTATCTCCATGTAATACTTACTAACTTAACATGCTTTTGTTGGTTTTTAGGTGTCGCGACTGTTTGGGTTCGAGGAGGTTGATTATCCGGTGTTAGAATCGGAGGCATTGTTTATAAGGAAAGCTGGAGAGGAAATCAAAGACCAGGTGTGTGTGTGTGTGTGTTTCGTTTCTTTTTAACAATTGTATTGTTTAATATACTGCAACTTAACTTAAAGAAACTATCAGGTGCTTAATTAAGTGGCAGGTTCTGGTATTTTACATTGTAGTACTTGGCGTGATGATAATGCTGTCAAATTTTGTTCCAAAGTTATCAACTTTTTATTAAATTTATGGATTCCTTGTCAAATGCAATCAATAAATGTTTTCATCGTTAGGCATTAACTTAATTTGGAAATGGGGGTAGGGGTTCTTGAAGCGCATCTAATGCAATACAGTGGACTGGCCAAAAAAGAAGATCATTGATGATGAATATGTACAGATTTCAATCCTGTCATTCTTGCACTACATTGCCTTTTTTTTTTTTTATGAGTACTTAACTGTGGGTCTTCTAGAGTTTCTCTTTGTGCCAAAATTAAAACTCACAGGTCTCTCTGCAGGAATATGCCATACATTTTTTGTGGTGGCATATGTTTATTTTCTGGTGTGGGATTGTTCTTTCTTATTTGACAATGAGTAATGCAACTCCACCTGGAACATCTTGCAACGGTTTTATATTTAAATCCTATCACTTTTTTTTCACTTTCTTTCTGCAGTTATATTGTTTTGAAGATCGTGGAAATCGTCGTGTTGCACTAAGGCCCGAGCTTACTCCCTCTTTGGCAAGGCTAGTAATACAGAAAGGGTACTTGAAATTTTTGATGCAGCAGAGTCCCACTGTTTTTGCATTTGAATAGCGCACATCCCTTTTTATGCGTTTCTTTATCCCAATTTGATTGTCCTTGACAAAAACCTTTAGGTTCATTTATTTATTTTCCTATGATTTTGTATCCAGGTACGGATGCAGATTTGATCTCCATGTTTTTTTTGGTCCAGAAAATCGCTATCCCTCCCACTGAAATGGTTTGCCATTGGACAATGCTGGCGATATGAGAGAATGACTAGGGGGCGGCGTCGTGAGCACTATCAATGGAATATGGATATCATTGGCGTCCCTGAAGTCACAGTAAGTGCTTCTGCATTAGCTTGACATCCAAAAATTGGTCACATATCATGGTTTTGAAACATCCTCATCCATTATTGTGGAGACACAGCTTTTATAAAGCTTTCAAAAGATGGATGACACGAGGTATAAGCTTTATAGCCTGCTCTATCTTAAGTGATAAGGTTTACTTCAAACAGTTGTTTTCAATTAGTCTTCAAGTCAAGTTAATTCTGTGCTCAATTGTTCTATTTTTATCTGTGTATCGTGTAGGCTGAAGCAGAGCTCATTTCCTCCATTGTTACATTTTTTAAGCAAATTGGAATTTCAGCATCAGATGTGGGATTCAAGGTTAACAGTCGAAAGGTAGTTACTTATTATTGCATTTTTTTTGGGTGAACATGGACTCCCACTGGAGTTCTTTTGTGATTAACAAATGATACAGTAATTGTGTGCTTTATGAATTGCACGTATTGAGTGCTTTTAATTCTGCAAGTGTTCATCAGTTGAGATCTTCACTTTCTGCTCTAAGAATTATTCTGAGTGCTTTTAATCCAAAAATTCTGCGCATTTCTTTCATTAATTGATTTTTTTTTTGCTGGCGCTTTGGGAATTGTTCTGAAAGTTATGATTGATTCATTCAACTGCATGGAAGGAAACATACATCAGTGTGTTTAATGGCATTATTAATCCGTGAATTAGACAAATTCAGAGTTTGTTAATCCTTGATACTAAATGAGAAAATATCTAGAGAAATAAGCAACTAATGATATTGCTTAGTGACAATGACAGTTTGTCCTTTTGTTGTTACTTTAGACAGAAAGTCATTGTATGCTGCATTCATTCCAGCACTGCGGGAAGTATATAATTAATCATTACATTGTGCATATCTTGAAAGGAATAATTTTTTCATGATGCTTCAATGTGATTGTTTATCCTGCATAACAGGTATATGAAGGTCATTATTTGACTTCCAATATCATTATCTGCATGCAATTTGTAGCACCATTGTTAATATTTTGAGTGTTTTCTTCTTCATTGCAGGTTTTGCAGGAAATATTAAGGTCCTATTCCTTATCAGAAAATTTGTTTGCCAAGGTCTGCGTTATCATAGACAAGGTTGGTTACCTTCTTTTCTTTTTGCTTGGATTTATATGCATAAAGGTTGATTGCTTGAGGTTTCATATTATGTGGTGTGATTTATCCCCTTTCACTGTATTGTTAGTCATCATGGCTGATATATTGTCATAATTTTAACTCATAGCAGTCATTGATTTCATTTTACAAATTAAATTTGTATTGGTTTTGTATATTGATGCCTTTATGCAGTTAGATGTGCACTTTTTCAATGTGATGCATCAGTTTTTCTCCTATTGGACCATGTTAATGGTGCTGATAATATTGATACAGATTGAGAAGATTCCAATTGATGAAATTAAGAAAGAATTGAACTCTGTTGGGATGCCGCAAGAGGGTGTTGACAAGCTACTTGAAGTCCTTTCCATAAAGTCATTGTCTGAGTTGGAAGGTCAGTTTCAACATGTTGCTAGAGAAGCTACTCTTTATTTGGTTTTTTTGCTAAACATTCATAGGTTATCCTCTGGCATATGTTAACTGTTGAATTCTTAACTAGGACAAATGATAACCAAATATATTTTCTTAAGGATATTGATGAAAATTCCTAATTATAGCCTTAAATACCCTGTATAAAAATGGTAAAAACAGAAGCCAGATACAAGAAGTCATTGTTTTTAGAGTTCAGATATGATAAGGATGCTGGGATACTTTGCACCATCCGTCATATCCTCTTTATTTAGATCCTTGTCCCATGGTTTGCTTTTTTCCTTAAAATTTCCCTGGAAATAGAGATTCAAAGATTTCATAATATTTATTTTCAAAGGGCGGAAAGTGGCTGCAAGACATGGTGTGCCCAAGTAGCATGCTAGGCTGCACTGTATTGCTTTTTAAACAATGTGAAATGAAAATCATATGTATCTTTTAGATTTACTAGTTGAAAAGTTTATTCTGAATTGGTTGATGTTTAGTTCTTGAGACGGAAGTGATCTCTCTAGATAAATGCAGGTAATGGATCTTTCTTAGCTTCTGATTATGTACTTTAATTATTGTGGGAGTATAGAGATACTTGGAGGTGCAGGGGAAGCAATTGCAGATCTTAAACAGCTGTTCTCACTTGCTGAAAAGTTTGGTTATTCTGAGTGGATTCAGTTTGATGCATCAGTGGTCCGTGGCCTTGCCTACTACACTGGAATTGTGTTCGAGGTTAGAATTGTGATATCTTTCCCTTTTTGGCTTTACAATATATGGTAGCAGACCAAGACTTGCATGGGATAAAAGATTTTATGATGAAACACTGCATACATGCTATACATGTTAATGTGTCCTGCCCATCCTATATCCAATGAAAACTTAGTACATATCTTTGAAAATGACAATGTGGCCAATAGAGTCTTGGCAACATGCCGAAAAACTTTGCACAGATATTCAATGATTGATACTGTTCCTTTTAGTGGATACTGGGCAACTTGACCACAAAGTATACCCATTTTTCCATGTTGTTTTACACATATCTAAAATGAAAAGTTCTTTTCTTAGGGTTTTGATAGAGCAGGAAAGTTGAGAGCCATTTGTGGTGGTGGGCGATATGATCGGTTACTCTCTACTTTTGGTGGTGATGACCTTCCAGCTTGTGGCTTTGGCTTTGGGGATGCTGTAATAATTGAAGTAAGTTGGTAGTTTTGTCCCCTTTTTTTGGCCATTTTAAGAATTTTGATGAAATGAATTAGGCCTTGTTAAATTCTATATAGCTTCATGTGTTCCCATCATCCAAAAAAAATTTACCTAACCAAAGATTTCTATTTTGGGATAAACCAGTAACTCGTAAAATAGCTTCTACCATGGTCAGTTGGCTTTATCTGTGTTTGTAAGCTAATGTCCAAGGATTTATGGAGAACTGAAAGGACGTTTTCATCTTCTGTATACATGAAACTGCTTAGATTTCTTTGTTTGTTATGGAATCAAGTAAATGAACTTGTACTTTTAATTGTGGGACTACCTCAAAGTTATGTGATCTATAAGAGGAAACAAAATAACAACCACCAGAACCTCTAATGAATGTTCACTCACCAAGCTTCTCGAAACATGGCCATGTGAAATTCATTCCTCAGTTTATCCATCAGTTTTGGGATGGTAGGCACTAGAGCGGTGTTATGCTCTTTCTTTCTTCTTGTTTTTCAAATGGTGTTTCATTTTCTTTTATATCATTTTATATGTCCTTTTGTTTTGTATCCATGATTGGTTTCCTTGCTTTTATTTATTCTAGCAATGCTTATACAAGTATCTACTTTTTTTGGATGGTGATGGTTCACAGCTACTCAAGGAGAAGGGTATCTTACCAGAATTGATCCCCCAAGTAGAGAACATTGTGTGCGCTCTTGATCATGATCTTCAAGGAGCAGCTGCCACAGTTGCTACCATGCTCAGAGAGAAAGGCCAAAGCGTTGATTTAGTCTTGGAAAGCAAACCTCTTAAATGGTATCAAATTCTATTTCTTAGGGGATATCCCTTCTCGCTTTCTATGTTTTATTTGCTAATATATTCTAATGATTTTCAGGGTTTTCAAGCGGGCAGCACGAATAAATGCACAAAGGCTTATATTGGTGGGGAACACAGAATGGAAAAAGGGTATGGTTAGTGTAAAAATACTCTCTTCTGGGGAACAATCTGAGATTAAAATCGATGAGCTAGAGTGACAAAAAGAAGAATGGATTTTTTGATGATTTCTATTTACTATTTATATGATTTTTTTTCCTTCTACCAACTTGTTTACTTCTCTAGATATTTTAGGTATAGTTTGATAAAAAATTCTTCATTTCAAATCTTCATTAAACTATTTTCTTACTGATCACTGTCATTTTCCCTTTGAAAATTATAATGACGGGTGGATTCTGTAGTTTCTAATCTGCCTTGCATGCCTCTACACCAGTATGCAGATTAGTTATCTTGTTCTGGCTGACAAAGTTGTATCCAGGCATCAATCAGATTAGAATAGATCTTCCCCTTTTTGACTGACAGGAAAAAAGGGGGATGCAAGTACTTTTGAGTTGATAATGTTTATAAACACAAATAAAACAGATGAAAGGTCTCTCTACTTGAGCAACATGAGTGTTACCGGGATTATCACGCTAAAAAAGTGCATTCCACTGCATTACTGTGCATGTGTGTGCACGCATGCACTTTCTTTTACTGCATTACCCTGAACTTGTACACTTCCTTTTAATTTGTTACAACTTATCTAGTGGCAACTAAATTTATGTACATTGATGGTGCCTGTTCAGCCATGGTACTGAAAGGCCTATGCTACATGTATGTATCTCTGGTTGTGGCCTGCTGTCTTCAAGCTTTAATTTGTTACAAATGTCCCCACATACCAAATCCAATTATGAAGAAAGCTCCTGCTTGAAGTAATAGATATATGAAGAAATGATCTTTCCTGAAATGTAGGTCGTAGATTGCACAGTACAACATAAACATCCCCATTATCAGCTCCAAGACATGAATCCTGTGTAGCATGAAAAGATGAAACGGAAATGTGAAATTAATTTGACATTAGGTAGTTGTTGTTCGTGTTCCATACTTTCTAATTTAGCAATTCTATTTGTCACCTGTTTGCTGAAATGAGTTTGGAAGCATCATGAAATAAACACTTTGCTTTGTCTAATGCGTTGTTCCATTTTTGCTGTTCTATCCACATGGTTGGGGTTTATTGTAATGCTTTGGTCTATGGTGATACGCTGTTTTGGTGAGGTGTTTAATGAATACCTTATTCTGTGCTCCATGAAAAAAAAACAAGGACACCTTATTCTGTGCTCCATGAAAAAAACCAAGGACCAAGTAAAATTGCCTGTTTCCTATGATCGAACATTCTTGGATGCTTTGAAAGTGTTCTTTTGCCTCAAGGTGTTCCCAAGCTTCTCAGTCACAACCCATTCATTGACACAGTTTGCATCTAGGAGTCCTATAATTGCTGATTTAGTTCGACGTAGGGACATTACATTTTCAAACAGGATCCAGAAGATGAGCAGATGAAGTGACCTGCTCCATTGTAGAGATTGTAGCTGTCGACTACCCGTCAATGTCAATAAAAAGAAAAAGAAAAATGAAGGTGAAAACCTTTGATTGCTGTAATTAGGTTACGTTGGAGTGCAGGCTGCGTTTAGAATGGTAATGGTGGCTGGAATGTAAATAGCTAGAGGCTTTGTGAGTTTCATTTCTGGAACCAAGGCACTTGCAGGTATAACCACGCAGTAAAAGAAGAAAGTGACCCTGTGTGCTGCTATCTTCCTCACATAGAAGAAAGCATAGATGATCTCTTAGAAAGAATCATTCACTGTAATTAACTCCGCATAGGATTCCACATGACTGGCGGGTTTGCTGGTAACGATATGCCTTCAGTGTACTAGGAAGTTCATTTCTCACCTGCAAAGGTAAACAGAAAATGGAAGATCGGGTTGGCAGTTTACAGTTCCTTGAAACTTGAGAATCTCGAATACAATTACTGTGGTTATCTCTGCGATAGAGACCTCACTGTCAAGTTCCCCACAAAGCCAAATTTCCAGCCCTTAATTAAGGCTAGCCCTGACTGCTAGGTCCATCCGTGTCTTCCACTGTGGTTCGATGTTTCCATCCACCTGCATCATTTATGGCCTGGATCGCCATCAACCACTTAATAATAATTTTATTTTTTTTGTTGAAATGTTTTCTTTAAACTTAACCTTTATCATATCAATATAAACACTATCTTTGTTATTATTACTGTTATTATTTATGATATCATCAGTATTATTATTATTATTATTAAAATAAAAATAATTGAAGGATGTTAATCCACATTTATCTTGTAAAAAACAAGATTACCAAACTCTTCACAATATTTATTAAATAAGAAGCTACCTTTTCTATTCATGCTTATTGAGCAAATTTTTAAAACTAGACGTGAATTCGGGATTATTCTTCTGCATCAAAACTTCAAAACCAGCTGAACATGTCATTAATAAGAGTATAATTTTAAAAAAGATTTAAAATTTCAATATCATAATTTGATAGGTTGAGATTGAGATGGAGTGTACTTTAACACATAAATTGCATAAAAAATTGTTTAATTATAATTAAAATATCTTTTCATTCTTCTAATCAATAAAGCTGGTTTAACTACTATGCTAAAAAAGTTGGGATTTTCTCATCTTCTTCATTGTTCATATAAATAGTAAATAAATGTGAAATCTTTTATTCATTTATCTTTCGATTGATTTTTTTTGGTATTTTTTTTAATTTTATACTTCAATATTTTTTTTAATTTTAAATTGATTATTATAATTTATTTCACATTATTTTCTATGAGAATAATCTCAAACAAAAATCCTGATATTTGGTTAGTATTGAATTTCACTAAGTATCTATTTTTGTTATCATATTATTAAATAAAAAATAATTTTATTTTTTTTAAACCCAATGGAATTCATAATTCAGTTTTATATTTGACAAGTTAAATCACAAAGTTTGTATCGATTTAATACATTTTCATTTTAATATTAAATAAAAAGATATCATCCTAATTTTTTTTTTTAAAAAGCAAACCACAGTTTAACTGGTCATCTAATTTGTCTTTAAACCCACCAAGTTAACTAAGTCATGTAGAGGCATCTCTTATACATGTTAATTTTAAACACAGGTTAAGAAAGAAATTTAGTTGAGATATTTTATTGTTGACCTATTGGGTTAGCTTTAATAACAATATCAAGCATATTTTTTACTAGTCGTCTAAACTGTTTTTGAATTTATCAAGTCGATTGAGTCATATTGGAACAACTTCTATGCATGTAATTTTAAAGAAAGAAATCAAATCAGAAGAATTCAAGTTTGACATGCTAAATTAAGTTTAATAACAATAAAAAATATTTTTTTCATCTAAATATCTTTTTATATGAAAAAAATATTATTGACCTATGACCGTAGCAGATACCAAGAAATTAGTCGTATATATAGTTAGAGGACATTCTTTAGTTTTTAAGCCCGTTAATTGGAAAACACTTTTTCTCCCACCCTTTCTTCCCTAGGCTATTTTTATTTTTTGGAATTTATTTTTTAAATTTTTGTGTATTTATTTTTTATTAGGAAAATTAGTCAATGGAAAACACTTTCCAGTAAAAGAAAATTTTAGCTTGGTTTTCAGAAAAAGTATTTTCTTGAAACATTTAGGCGGAAAACATTTTCGAGAAGTTGTAAAAAATTTAAAAATATTATATTATTTGCTGATTATATCAAATTTGGTCCTCAAACTTTTGATTGCTATATATATTTTATTTGGATATTTATTTTTTAATTTCATCTCTTAAAATTTAATTTTTATATTAACTTTGGTCCTCATTTTTATAATTTTTATTTATTTTTTCCCTATCATTTTTTTTATTGAAATTCTTTATCTATCAAATTTGGTCCTTATTCTTTTGATTGTTATTTATTTTATTTGAAATAATTTATGAAAAGTTAATTATTATTATTTTAACTTTTTTATCTTTTATTTTTTTATTTTTTAGATTTGATCTCTATTATTTTGATTATTATTTATTTTATTTGAGATAATTTATGAAGTTATATTTTTTTAATTTCATTATCATTCAACCTTTTAATTTGTAAGATTTGTTCCTCGTTATTTTAACAAATTTTAAAAAAATTAAACATTAATAAGTTATTTTTCAACTTATTTTCCATGACATAATCAAATAATGAAAAGTATTTTCCAACTTATTTTTCATTACATTATCAAATATCATAAAATAATTCATTTTCTCATAATTCATTTTTCAAAAGGAAACTATTTTCCAGCAAATAAACGAGATCCTAATATTCTCTCTCTTTCTTCTATTTTTTTGGAACAAATATTTTTTTAATCTTTAAGCAATTTAATTTTTGTTTGAATATTTTTTCTGGGTATAGAAAAGAAAAGGTTGTGGAGGATTTATCACCTTGATTTCATCATTGTATGTCTGAGAAATGAACAACTATGCATAATTGAATTTGAAGGTATTCAATTTAATTTTTTTAATATTAGGTAAAATTAATTTTCTCTAAGCTAACGTTTCTAGTATAGAATAAAAAAAATTAAAATTGTTCTTGAAAATTGAGAGATTAATTTTTGTTGTCGCACTTGAAGTATTATTGCATTTTATACCAATTAATTCCTCAATCGATTGATATTTAGGGTTATTTGTAGTTTTTCTAGTTAGGATCATACTAGTTATGTGTTTGTGTTTCATTGCAAGTCAGACTCAATTTGTTTTGTTAACATAGGAAAAAATAACATATTGGCAACATGTTTTACACCGTTATTGTTTTTTTAATTGCGAAGCAAAAAAAATAATGCATATATTTAATAAAATAAATTAAGAATTATATCTAAATATTAAAAAAAATTTCTAGCGCTAACAAAAAATTAAGGTGATAAATTAAGACAAATATACATGTTAAGATATCTAATCTGTGTCGTGCAAAAAGCTTTTAATTTTTTTTTTAATTATACAACAATAAAATCATTTTTGGTAAGAAAAATAATTATTTTAACTCCTTTGGAAAAAAAAGTTTCTAGTATAATTCTTTTTTTTTTCTTATTAAAAAAGTAATTATGCAAAATTCACTAAAAGTTGAAAGAAATTTAAATAAAAATATTTGTGATAACTATAATGACCTGCACTTTATTTTCATACAATGCTCACGACCATAAAAATAAAAAAGAAAATATACATAGCAGGTCAATCAAATAATTAATAAAATGATTGTCAACATTGTCAAAAAAAGAGAGACAAGAATCTCATTAAAAAAAATTGAATTATACGTAATGAAATAATATCTCAAATATGATATTATTTATTTAATTATAATTAATTTTGATTAGAAAAAATAAATAATAATCATGAAGGGTATAACGGAAAAAAATGTACAGGGCATAACAAAAAAAAAAAATCTTCTAATATCATAAAAAATGTCATAATCTTATTAAAAAACAAATTCAAAAATAATTTAAATTATCTAGTACAAAAATAGGAGTTTGCCTGCACACCTTACCAAATTTTTATTTAGTTGGGTGGAAGACAAGTCATTTGACCAAAAATTTTTTTATAGGTAAGAAAACGCTAGACAACCGTCATCCTTGGCCAGCCTAAAAGACTTTAAAAACTAAAACACCCCACTCTCATTTTTAATTATTTTATTTTATCTGAAAACATAAACACCATAAAAATTTCAATAAATTTATTTTAACTTTAAATTATAAAAAATTTCAGTTAAAAAAAATCAACCTTGGTTAAAAAAATTCCTAAGTCTCTATCTATGTTTTAAAAGTTTTTTTTAAAGATAAAATTAAAAAATATTTTAATAAAATTTCTCTCAAAGATACCTGTTAATACTAAAATTGATTTTTTTTAATCATTATAGAAGCGTTAATAGACAATTTTCTTTCTTTTGTTATTTTTTTTTATAAAATTCAGTTTTTACATCTCAAACTTAAAGACTAAATAATAAATATAATAAAATTTTAAATTAAAATTAAAATTTTAAACTAAAAATACTGCAAAGAAATTCAAAGAAAAGTGAGCTAAGAGAATATTTTCACACCAATGTGTATTTGTCCTTTTTATTTATATTTTTTATTTTAGTCATGTGTTTTTAAAAATTATATTTTTTTTAATAAATTAAAAGAAATTGTTGCTAACTTGATCATAAAAAAATGCGATTGAAAATAAAAAAATATTAATATTTTTTTTTAAAATCAATATTAAAACTCGAAGTGAACCGTGAGACAGTGCATAATGCACACACACTGTAAAAAAGGACCTCGCCTTTTAATGTTTTTTAAAATCATAGCAATATATAAATTAAATTCTAATGTTGCTACATACATATATTTGTTATAAATGAAATTTTAATATTCCTAAATATAATTTTTTCCAATTTTATTTAACATTTCTTTGTTTTATATTGTTATAAAATCACGATTGAATATAACAAATACATACATGCACATTTATAATTTTATTACCATGAATAAATAAATATATAACCCACGGCGTGTCTGGTCAATTTTGTTTTCTTTTTAATTTCTTTGTTGCTATCAATTTCTCAAAAACTATAGCCACGGTTCTAGTTATAATATTTATATCGGTACCTGTTTGTCATTTTATTTTAAAAATATTTTAAATATTTTAAATTAATATATTTTTAATATTTTTAAATAATGATTTTAAAAATAATTTTAAGTAAATAAAAAAATATTATTCATATATTTTTTAAAATATCTACAGTTATTCTTCGAAACATGTGAAATCCTATTTTTAAAGATATTTGGAGTGGGGGACAAAAACGCAAGCCTGCCGACTAATTGAAACAGTGTTCATCGATGATCCTCCTCCACTAGCTTCTTCACTCACTTTCCTCGTTCACCCAATGGAGAATTATTTCTTTTTCGTCTTGGCTTTTTATTTTCTAATTCTATTTTCATTAATAAGATTTGTCAGAGATTGTTTAAAAACAAAATAATACTTCAATTCTTTATAAAAATAAAGTCAGAAAAGAAAAATTAGAAAGCTCTGTTTAAATATAATATATCTATATCCAAAAAAAATTAAAACTAGTTTTTCAAATTTATAATGTGTTTGGAAAACATATTTTAGAAGAAAAATCTATATCCCTGCAAGTTTCTATTGTTTTCTAAATAAAAAAAAAACATGGATAATAAATTCTTTTGTTTTGTATAAGAGCACTTTTTTACCAAATAAAATATTAGTTTTCTTACATTTTCATATTTAATTAGTGCAAAATTTTATTTTTATTATGAATCTATTTTTTAAGTTAACAATATAATTTCTTATAATAATCTTTAAAGAATTTTAAAATCCGGGATAGAAACTTGATACTTCCTTGTTGTATTATATGTCTATAAATAAATATCTAACAGGATTGTTAAATCTTAACACAATTTTTTAGCCTAACGAAACCCTAATGATTAATATAATAAAATAGTTTCAGAAATCCCTTAATAAAACAAAAAAATAAAAATTCTATTCAATTTATTATTGTAAAAGAAAAAACAAAAACTAAAAAAGGAAAAAAAATTCTATTAATAAACAAATCTTTGATATCTAGATCATCCCATCCAAGGTTTGAATCACGGTTTAGATAGGTTAATTTAAATTTATTTTTTTAAAATTAAAACAATATTGTTTTATAATTTTTTTAGAAAATCAAATTAAATATTAATTTAGTTATGAATTAACTTTCCGAGTTAACCGTACTAATCAGAGTGAACTCCACGTTAATTTCTTTACATCAGACCAGGATCAAGTGGTGGGTCAGCTGGCTCTCAAGTGGGGCCACAGAGTGAATTTGAAAAACTGTGCTATATGTTTAACCAAATAATACTGGCAGGTATAATAGTTCCCGTCATTGAATTGTCATCTCTTTACCATACCAGGTTTTGACGACGAAATTGTGGCATGCAGGACAAGACTGGACCTGTGAACAGCTCCGTTCCAAGGGCACCTTCTTCTTTTCTTTTTCTTTTTTAACATTTGGATTTCTAGAGTGTTTTTGTAGCTATTTTTTAAAATATTTTTTATTTTAAAAGATATTAATTTTTTATTTTAAATTTATTTTTAATACCAGCACATTAAAACTATTCAAAAATACTAAAATAATTAATTAAGAACAAGTTAAAATCCAATGTTATAGAATAATATAAATTATATTTTGAGATATCACCTAACAGTTTAAGTTATTAAGTTAAATTGATTTTTTGACATGGTATCAGAGCTTTAATAATAAAGCGGTCACAAGTTCGAATCTCATCATTTCTATTTATTTAATAAAAAAATTAAGTATAAAATAACATGAACTTATATAAATTTTAAGTTCAAATTTTTTTTACAATGTAGTAAAAATTTATATAAATTATATTTTAAAATTTCATCTAATAATTTAAATTATTAAATTAAATTATTTTTTAATACCAATACCCATCACTATAGTTAGCTGCAATTGATGCTGGCATGGGATACAACCATTAAGGTGGAGATCCCATCTCCAACATTATAAGGTTTTCAAAAAAGGTTGAAGGCGAACTCTTGTTTCGCTATGGGGTGCGGCTTCAAATAAAAGATAGGTAAAATTCATGTTTTTTTGTTTAAAAATAATTTTTAATTTTTTTTAATATGCTATATTAAAAATAAATTTTAAAATATAAAAAAATATATTTTTAAATAAAGAATACTTTAAATATCAATTACTAGCATGCTGTCAATCAACTTATTATTAAGAATTGAATAATTGAATTAAAATCCTGATGTCCTGCTTGCAATTATGGTTTATCGATGGGGTGAAAAAAGAAAGAAAGAAAAAGGCACCAACTTTGAAAAGGAGGAGTACCCTTTTGTACTTTACCCTTTTCGTGAAGCTGAAGCTTCCTGCTAGACGATCGAATTGCTTGAATGGGATCATGATCTTCTTCTGTCTTTATATGAACATTTCATAATTTAGATCCAAAACTCAACACCCTTTCCCTTTCGTTTTCTTCTTTATTTGTTGCGTTCTTGAAAAATATAGAGTACATTTTCAAAATATTTTTTTAAAAAATTAATCTTTAAAATTTTTTATTTAAAATTAATTGTTTTTAACGTCGTTGTAATACGCTAATATAAAAAATATTTTAAAAAACAACAATTATAATATTTTTAAATATAAACTAAATAGTGATAAACAATCATTTTAATTTAAAAGGTTAAATTATTAGGTGGAATTTTAAAATATAATCTATATTATTTTTTATCATATTTTTTTAAATGAAAAATTTTTTGGATTTAAAATTTGCATAACTCTATATTATTTTATATTTGATTTTTATTAAATAAATAAATATGATAAAATATAAACTCATGATAATTTAATTATCAAAATTTTGATAACATATTAAAAAATTATCTTAACTTTATAATTTAAAATATTAAATAAAATTATAAAATATAATTTATATTATTATCGTGGTGCAAACGTTAACTGCGTGCCATGGTCGATCCTGTTCTCACTTTGATGCTTTCACCATGCCTTCAGCAACGATTAAAAAAGAAGAGAAACTCTGGTCGAGACATGTGATGTGTGTGGACTTGGTCAACACAGCACCTTTTTTTCTTTAAGTGGTTGTTTGGGCATTAGGCAACGGCTACGTATATATATAATATATAATAATATAATGTATTCCTCTCCTCCAACTAGACCACGCTGGGTCCCTCCCTCCCTCTACTCATGCACTTGTAAAGCAGAGTGATAAATATATTATTAATTAATTGTAGCAGTGGCAAAAGTTTTGGTGCAGAACATGTGATTAGGCGAATGCCGGAAGTCCAATCCCTAGCTAGATGGTTTTTGATTCAAGCAACTTCTTTTTCCGGTGAACGTGCCAGCGGGGCAGCATCCATGAAATTTAAAAGATGGAGGTGAAGTTGCCTGCCTGCGTCCATTTGTTTTTCAATGACGGTGCCACTATCCACGGATCTGGCACGGCTGACTCTTCATGCTAGAGAACTACTTCTGACGATGATCCAAGCCATGCCGATAACCATATATAATTATTTGCCGGTGGATGGTTAAGGGTATGATAATTATTGTTTTTTAAAATAATAATTTTATATTTCTTAATAATTAATATCAACAAATTAAAATAATTTAGAAATACATATATATATTAATCAATTTCTGTTTAGACCGTAATACCAGGCATACCTAAATCAAATTAATCCTCTTTTTTTCACAACCAGCAAATCAATAATGACTTCTAATTACACTATATGGATTAGTGAGCTGACCATGTCAATTTTTTTTTAATTTTTTTATATCATATGTTTATTTGATACCATATTTCCCGAAGAGCATGATTTGGAGATTCAAAGACTTTGGATGTGCTGCTGAAATTTGAACCCAAATGTGTGTACAGGAGACTCGGAAGTCAATAGTATTTGACTGGGAAGCCATGATGGGGATAAGTGCTTGGTAGCTGAACAAAATTAGTTGGATTTTACTCATATTTTAATATCCTAACGCCTGCATATTTAAGACTCACCGGTCAGATACATACAGCAAGCAAAACGCACATTTTAAGTTTCCCTCCCTCCTTAAAAAGAAAAAAGAAAAAGAAAAAAAACCCCTCAAGATTTCCCCGTCTACTCTTTAAATAAAAAGCCATCCCTGCCCCGCCTTCCGCCCTCCTATCTCTCTAAGATCAAATCCAAACAACACGCGTCTCTCTTCTGTTGCTTTATCATCAACCTAACCCAAACCGCCACTCCTCTTCTCTTGTATAACTGACCATTCTCATCACTCTCTCTTTTCCTTTTCGGTTATTAATTTGGTATAATTTCCCATCTATTGTATCTTAATGGTCGCTGGCGGGGCCCACCTGGAGGATGGAGACAGGCACCCTTCGTCGGCCTCTAGAAGAGGAGGAGGAGCCACCACGGGCTCCTGGGTGTCTGGCCAATCGGTGTCAACTAGCGGCAGCGTGGGGTCTCCATCCAGCAGGAGCGAGCAGGCCATGGCCACTCCCGCAAGTGACAGAACTTTCTTAAGGTTGAACCATCTCGACATTCACGCCGATGATGCCGCCACTCAAGATGCCGCCGCGTCAGTTTCCTCCTCCTCCTTATTACTATTAATTCTGTTTGATTAATCATGCTGATGTTTCATTCATTCATGGAGATGTAAATTCACGAGTGGGGTTTTTCGCTTGAGGGTTCATGTATCCTGTTGGAATTCTTATTATGTGAGATGTTTTGAATTTGGTATTTGTTGTTGCTATTGTATGCCATTGCATAATTAATTTTGTGCCTCAATTTAGGATAGTCTCGAATCGTGATGTGAATTTGAGTTGGTAGCTTGCTAGCTAACATGCTTGGATTTTTTTTAATCGTCCATCATTGAGTTTATTGAAGTTCGTTTGTTCATGAACAGCAATAAGAAGAAAAAGAGAGGTCAACGGGCTGTTGGAGCTGATAAGAGTGGTAGAGGACTTCGTCAATTTAGTATCAAAGGTATTTCATTCATCTCTTTTCCCCTCTTGAGAAATCATCTGCAAATTAGTACTTGTCTACTCTTGTTTTCCTAGCGATACACGAGTTTTCTCTACCTGACTGACTTCATGGTTCTACACTGTTTTACTTGTGTCCAGTTTGTGAAAAGGTGGAATCCAAAGGAACAACTACTTACAACGAGGTCTGTTTCTTTTTTCTTTTTGGCTTATTCTTATATATAGATGGCCTACTTGTAGCACTGTTAATTCCCTTACATCAAGCTGTGAAAATGTTTCACACGGTGTTGGTGATTGTTCTTCTTATGGTATTGCGAGAAATGATTAGCATGCATATACTGCCCGGTTCAGGCCTTGCTTGATTCTTGACTGAGGATAAATATTTAAACGACTCAATTGATACTTAATGTTAGTGGCATTGAATAGTAATCAATTGCTTATAAGGTTCGCTTGGTCTATTGAACAAGATGTAGCTGAGAGAAGTTGATTTTTTTGGGTCAGATTTGTTGGCAATACACAGCAATCTATATCAAACACCATTCAGGGGTTGGTGATTGCTTAGTTTTTGGGGGCGGCTAGGCACTCCACCACTTTTCATTGGTTGTTGATAGGAGGGATGGGAAAATAGATGGGTGTGCGTTTCAATTTAGCAGGTCATAAAGGAATATCTGGAGACACTTGAAAGATTGTTTCTCCTTTTCACTTCCATGTTGAATTTCATACCTTTAAGCTGTTAAAATGTTTTGATAATCTTCCACGTAGACAAATTGGATGATAATGAATTGACCTTCCAGATGATCAGTCAGGAACAGTTACATCTTGGCACCATTCTTGTAGATCTTTATGCTACTGTTGAATGCTTCCTAGGTGATCAGCGTGAACAAGCAAAACAATTTTTTGATTAGGAATTTGTTTTTATCTCCTTTGATTTCATTTGCTAGCCCCATTAAAGTTTCTGGGACATCTTTAACTTCTAATGCTTTGTGTACCAGAATTAATGCTTTTTCTTGTCTTTGTATTTATATTTATATAATCATCATAATTTTCTGTACCTATTTCTGAGAGTTCGAAGCAATTCTCAGGTAGCAGATGAACTTGTTGCAGAGTTTGCTGACCCTAGCAATAGTGTTTCTACCCCAGATCAGGTTATCTATTTTGTCAACTGAAATTAGTCTCTCTCTTTTTTTTTGTATTTAGCTTTTATCTTAAAGGCAAGCTTAAAACTTGACCCTGTGGATCCATTTTCTTTTATCTTATTAATTTCATCTTGCAGCAACAATATGACGAGAAAAACATTCGGCGGAGGGTATATGATGCTCTGAATGTACTCATGGCATTAGATATCATATCTAAGGATAAAAAGGAAATACAGTGGAAAGGTCTTCCCCGAACTAGCCTAAGTGATATTGAAGAATTGAAGGTATGTGCTTGCCTTGTGTATCAAGAGAAATGACTTTTGAGTTTTTTGATCTAACATAATCTTTTCCGACTTGAATATGACCAGGTTGAGCGTCTTGGATTGAGAAATAGGATCGAAAAGAAAGCTGCCTATTTGCAAGAGCTGGAAGAACAAGTGAGAATGGCTATTTAAACACTCATGGTTTGAATTTGAAGCTAGATACATTCATTTAGGAAGTTTCATGTTTCCTATAGATGTAACTCATTGGCCCTTGTTACTCACTTGTTATCTTGTCCAATCAAGTTTGTAGGTCTTCAGAACCTGATACAGCGAAATGAACAACTGTACAGCTCAGGAAATGCTCCTAGTGGCGGTGTGTCATTGCCTTTTATTCTGGTGCAGGTAAAACTTCTCAATTTATTTTGCATGTATGGCCATTAACTAGTTTTATTTTAAAAGTCCTGGACTTGCAACCAAAAGGATGGTAGCTTCTCAAAATTCTCTAGTTTGATGAGACCATAATTAAGCAATAGTTTTTTGGATTTCTTAGTTAAAGGATTTGCTAACATTTACTTTTGATGAGTTTGTCAAATCCGTAGAATGGTTTCTTTTTCAGCTGTTATTCTGTTAATCTGATTTGTTTGCACTGCAGTCACCAGTTGCTTTGTTTCACTTAAGAATATTAGTTTATGCGTTGCATATTGCAGTCAGCAGACAAGTTACTCAGCAATTGTTTACCCTCATCATTTAGCTAAGATTTTGACTATTAGGTGTGTCTATTGGCATGAACCCCAACATGCTTTTATTTTCACCTGGAGAACAAAATGGACTTCCCTAACTGATACTTTCCATGTCTCTGCCATGCAAAATGGTGTTATGAAAAGATCCTTGATCTTTAGTCTTGCAACCAAGTATTTGATGTCCTGATTCATTGGTGTGATAATGAATTCACAGGATATTATGGACAACATAAGTCATCAAAATTTCCAATGTTTTACAAATCCACTCTTCAATCAAACGTACATTATCTAGTTTACTTCGTGTATTCGGTATTCATTTGTGAGATCAGTAGGTTCCTGTTTTTGCACTCTTGTTTGGGAGATCTTTAGGGGAGAGACATCATTGAGTTGGAGAATGCATTTGTTGCTGCACTTGTGCTTACCTTCTATTGCTTGTGTTTCATATGCATACAGATCTGATGGATAGGATAGGTTGGGATAATGAGAGGACACAAATTGTCTGTAGCTGGATGTAAGCTTTATAGGATTAAATCAGCATTTACTTTTAGGTGGTTGCAAATAGATCAGACTAGGCTTGATAGAGGCAGGGGATTTATTTGCATGCTTGCATGTCATAAGGCCACACGCATAGAAACGTGCTATAATTATTTGAGAAATCCACTCTGAATATAGTAACTGACTGGATGTGGAGGAGGATGGTGGAAGGAAGAGACTTTAAATTTGTATGTTGAGAAGATTGCGAAATGCCACTCCCACATTGAATAGGAAGAGGGAGGTAAACTCTGCAATCTATGAATAACTGGCATTTAAAGGTTTTTCAGTATGGAAGGTTTTTATGGATTTGTGGTTTGACAATTATGAAGATTTGTGCTGTAATTCTAGTCTCAGGTGGAGAGAAGGTGTAGAAAATGATCCATTTTTACACGTTTTGCTTAAGAAATTTAAGAAAAGCAAAGCCTAACGACAGATAGCCATTGCTTTGATGGTTCAGAATTGTTATTGAGCACTTGAAAATTCATGTCCCATCACCTTCTAGGTCCTTTCCTTTATCCTGTTGCTTTGAAGATTCCCTAGTAGATTTTAGGGTTTGGTCTCAAGTCTTTTCTTGTTCTGCATTAATAGTTGGATGAATGCGGTGAACTAGAGTTTCAAGCAATAGAGAGATCTTATTGTTACAATTAACCTCACGAGTAAAAACAATAATTATCTGCATATGAACAAGTTCACAATTAAGTTTACTAAAAATTATAATATCTGTAAGTAGGAGCTATATTTTACCTACGTGGCTGAAAGTCATAATTTGAGTTTTTAAGGCAAGCTGACCAAGCAGGCTCTGAGATGAGCTTGAGCTGCAGTTGAACCCTTGGAAATTGTAGTCAGCATATATAGCATTTTTCTTAGTTGGAAATATCATCTGGAAGTATGTTTATGGTTGGAAATATGTACTTGAAATGTAAATGAATAGACCATAGAAATTGCCATATCTTGTTATTTTCACTTCTGAATATGAAGTCACATTTGTTTTGTTTTGTTTTTTTTTAATGCCTTACTTTTTCTGTTTTGGCAATTGGGACCTGTAGACACGCCCTCATGCAACTGTTGAAGTGGAGATATCAGAAGATATGCAGCTGGTTCACTTTGATTTTAATAGGTAAGAATACCCGTCAGCTCCTCTAGTTTCTCATTCATAAAGCTAGTAACTCGCATGCACTTAATATCTGCTTTGGCATGACATAATGAGAGTGTTGAGTTTGCGACACCATATGATTTTGGAATATTTTAGTCGAAGTACATCATCATTGTGGCAGACTGGATTTGAAATCTGCAAAGAAGGCATCAAATTATATGTAAGAGATGTGAAGGGGCTCTGGATAAGTGTTTCATTATTCATGCTTAAAAATAAATGCCACTTTTAATTTGCAACTGAGCACTTTTGGACCATGGTTTTCACCTTTTCCCCATAAGTAAAAATTTAGAGTTCTGCCATTGATAATACGTTTTTTTTATTGTACTGTATTTGCAGCACTCCTTTCGAGCTCCATGATGATAATTATGTTCTCAAGGCAATGAAATTTTGTGAGAGACCCCAGAGCGATGATATGGCACCCAATCCACCTGCTGATGGAGGTGAAGGTTCTAGCATGTCCACCATGTATCAACCACAAATCCTTGCTTCCCCGAGTACAAACACCCCAGTTAGGCATCCTACTTCGCCGCCTCTTCCTGGAATCATAAAAGCACGTGTTAAGAATGAGCATTGAGTCATGCACGATCATCTGAACCATGGGCAATCATGTCAGCTGTGTCTGTATATTGTGTAAAGCAGTTTGCTGTAGATGGCGCCTCCCTATAATTATCCCCATTCACAGTTTGCCCTTGTTAGGAGGAACTGAGATGACAAGCAGATCGACCCATTTGCTTTGAGACTTCCATGGAAACACTTGGTTCTATCTGGTTCTCAGCTTTAGATCCATTATTCGTGTCTGTAACTGTTTAACCATTTTTTTTCCAGTTATTTTTTCCCATTGCAGCAAAAATTAAGTTTAGATTGTATTAGGCTACATAGGATTGTCCAGCCTTACTCAGAATGATAGAATGAATTAATTCAATCTTCAAGAATTTGATGTTTCCTTATGTGTTGCATTGCATTTATTTCTTACCTGTCACTATCATTCTGTCATCCAGTTCTTTTCATTTTATTTAATTCAATGGCAGATATATACCAAAAAAAACAATGGAACAAGTAAGAAAGTGATCTCTTTTCTTCTTTTTTTATCCGTTGGTGGAAACGCAAACCCTAAAATCCCATGTTCGCAACGGCTCTAGAGCCTCGCGCACTGTTTCCTTATTCTCTCAGCTTCAAACATTGTTTAGTGGACAGCCACGGTTTAAGCTGGCCATTTTCTGTTTGTGTCTTTCGCTTATCTTACTCCCTGCTTTCTTCCCTTTCCTGGCCTTCTGGTCCCACACCATATCAGTCTCGAGATGGGTTCTGTTTCTCTTCGTTTGAGTATGGTTGATGGTGCTGGGTGCATTTGGTTCCCTTACTTTCTTTTTTGGCCCGACTTGCCTTGCTGCTACTATTTTGATATCTTTATTTTGCTAAAATGTTAATTTTAAAGTAAAATTATTTAAAATATTAAAAAATTATTTTAAAAGAATTATTTTTTAAAATTTAGCAAAATAATGGTTGCATTGCTACGCAAAATAGTGCCGTCATAAGTTTTTTTTTTTCCCCAGTTACAATGGACCTTTCAATTCATGGGCGCTGTAGCTCATACAAATATAATGACCGGGGAGCTAATAAACACGCTATTGGAGGATTATTCCTGAATGAGCCACGTGTTTTTAGAATTACGAAAATGGAAAATTACAGTAACCCTAGTGATTTACCTCTATTTTTTTTTAAATTACCATTTTGAGTCAATTCAATTTGTAAATTTGGATAATAAAATAAATTTATCCTTATATATAATATATCATAAAAAACCATAATTTACTCTTCACAAAAAAAAATCCCAAATTAATTTCAAAATCTAATTGATTTATTTTTTATTCCCTAAGAACACAAAACCTCACCAAAAATAAAATCTAATCTTCAATGTGTAATCAATTTGTTTTCTCTTCACTTGTGGCATGATTTTGCTTAGGTTGCGAGTTTTAAATCAATTGTTCTTGTTTTTTAATCAAATTCCTAAAAATAAAAAACAAATTGATTTCAAAACCAATTTTTCCCTAC